TTACTTATATGAGGAACCTAGAATATGCCAATTACTCAATTACATGATACTATAACACCATATATTTCAAATGTTGATTCTCCTCTACTGCCCACATACTTACGTACTGGGGCCACAAACCATGCCCAGGCTAGTTGCATGCAGTCTCATCTCCTAATGCTGGGGGAGTGAACACAATGGGCAGAAGGAATATTCCTGAAAGCAGTAATCACACTAGGAGTGGCTTGCCAACACTTAACTATACAGAAGTAGCAGTGTGCAGAGTATCCACAAATACATCTCATTTCATGCAAATTAATTGTGTCTTCAACTCAGTCTCACCTTGGCCAGACTCCTAAAGACGTGTGAAGCCACTCCAACAACACCTGAAACAAAGAGAAGTCTGATAAGAGGGATAGTTGGAAAGGGACTGGTTTTAATCAATTGCTGTTAAATTGTTTTCTTTTGAGAATTTCATTCAAAAATTATGAGACCATAAAACACATTCTAGGACTCCTCAACAGAACTTCTGGAAGAGGCCCCCGCCAGCGGCTTCATGGTAAATCCTCCTTTGCCTGCAAGTAACACAAGCCCTCAGTAGAGTCACTCCGTGGTCTCCACCCTTTCACAAAGCCAGCAATGACTGGAGGTGTCTTCCTTCTGGAGAACTGAACCCCCTGCCTGCGGTCGTCATGAATTTGTCCTCCCTCAAATTCTCTGGTTTATAAATGATCCCATCTTCTGTGTTAACTAGATAAACCAAAACCCTAAAAGTCATCCTTGATTCCCTCTGTTTCTCATCTACCATGTTTAAAACATCAGCAAGATCTGTTATTTTACCTCCAAAATTATCCTGATTTATCCATTTCTCTACATTCCCACTCAATACTGAGTCCACATCTCCCTTGGGTCTCATTGGGTCACCCAAAAACCCTTCTGGTCATCCTCTTGCCCCACCCCACCAATACTCCACCGCTGAGCCATTCCACAGACTGTGGAGGATTATCTTTTCCAAAACATAAATGACATTAGTTTTATTTACACCCACCCCCAAGCACTTACCATTTCATGTAGAATAAAATCTGAACCTAACCACGAGGGCACAAGACCTCATCTGATTGGACCCCAGGCTACCTCGTTGACATCACCCCTTACCACTCTCCTTCTCACTTTTAGGAGCACCAGCTTCTGTCAGAATCACACCAAACCTGCTTCTGCCTAAGAACCATTGCTGTGACTAACTTTTCCTAACCTCAGTTCTGCACACCTTATTTTTTGTCATTTTCCTGTTCTTCAAGACTCAGCTCAAATATCACCACTCCTATTCCCTATGTCCATTGTGATTCCCCTTCACATGTCTTTATTTCATTTTCCTAATGTCACTTACACTTTTATTTAGTTTTAAGTGTACATATTTACAGGATACGGTGTGGTAATTCATCACATGTATATAATATAACTGATCAAATCAGGGTAGTTAACATTTCCAACTCCTTATCATTACTTTGAGGTCACTTATATTTTGAAATCATTTCTTCAGTCATTTTTCTTGTGCTGTCTCCCCACATAGAAGAAAGACTATGTTCAAGAAATTTGTCTATGCTGTGGAATAAGGTATCTTCCACTACATCAGTGCTTATCAGATCATACTATGACATAAAATTTTTGAGCAATTAGCAAATATATGTTTGAATAAACTCCAGATGAAAGAATTTGGGTTACTTTCCCTTACAGGGAAAAAATTAGGGGTTGAATCATGGAAAAAACTGACATCATTTGCCTTCTGGCCTCTAATACCTGAGTCAGTGAGGTGGGCTGGAGCTGGCTGTGGGTGGCTCTGCAGAACTAAGGACAGTGGGTGAATCATCGCTCTGAGGAGCCTTCAAATGAGATTTTCTTTAGGAGTCACTATTTAGAAGTTGTCACCATTTACTTCTTTATTCATTGGCTTTTATTAATACATTCTATGCGTTTATAAGTATAAATCATTTGCCTTCAGGTTCTGAGAAGGTAGTAAGAGGACAGAGTCTAAGAACATGGCATCTGGGGGCTGGGGATGTAGTTCAGTTGGTAGAGTGCTTGCCTTGAATGCACAAGGCCCTGGGTTCAACCCCTATCCTCACAAAAAAAAAAAAAAAAAAAAGAATATGGGATCTGAAGTCACACTGCTTCCTTGCAATACTAGGTCTGTAATTTAGTACCTTGGGAAAGCCACTTATCTTCTCTAAGTTTCATACTTGAAAAAACAAATGAAGACCGCACTGGCATCCTAAAGTGTTGAGATTAATTGATACTAAAGAGGTCAGCACAACGCTCATTGCAAGTGTGTGCTAACTCAACATCAGCTACTTTGCTATTGTTATATTTGTTATTCAAGACTCCCCAGCACTAAAAGTTCATGAATACAAATACAGCCACATATGACAGTGCTCTTTTAGATTTCCCTTAAAAACTGAGTAATGTATTAACAGGTATGTTGATCCAGTAGCACACGAATGTTTGTATATTTTTCTCCATGAGAGTGTCTGCTCTCATTTTCCCTGAGTTGGACACTTACACTGTCTACTTGGTCAAGGATTTAAATTTTTCCATTATTTCTAGAATCTTTGAGAGCTCCAGATCAGCATTGTGTATCTATAATTAAATAAGGAAATTAAAATTCAGCCAACAAGAATCAGGACACCCAAAACTGTGCAGAGGCTGCTGGGCAAGTCCCACCCCCCAATGCAGAAACAGTGGCTGCAGGTGCAGCTGCAGTTTAGGGACAGGCTGCAGATCCCCTAGGTGCACTGTGCCTCTGCTGTACAGAGGTAGGTGCCTGAGTCTTCCAGCTGGGAGGTGGAGATGTGCAGGGTGCTGTAGCGCTCCTGAAAATTCATTGATGCCTTTAACCTTCCCTCCTGCTTTGTCCCTGAAGTCAGGTAAAACAGACTGATGAGGCCACCCGCAGGATTCTGTCGGAACCACTGCACCCTGTCTATGGTGGTGGAAAAATTGCACCTCAGAGTAGGGCTGGTTCCCTCCTGGAGCCTCAGGGCTGAAGGACTCTGCTCCACCTGCTGCCCTCTCACCCCTGCTTGGAAAGAGAAAAGCAAACACAGCTGGTGTCACTGAGGAATCCATGACCAGTTTACACACCTGTAGAATATCCCAGGAAACACCCTGAGGATGGAGGCCAGGGAGGGGGCTTGGTGCCAGCTCTCCCTGCCCTCCCTCACACTGTCAGCCCTAAAACACCCTCAGCCCCATCTGGGAGGAACCCGACTCACAGCAAAGCTGCACCCACAGAAGCCCCAGCAGAGCCCCCAGTCTCCTCTGCATGGCTGGCTGCTAACCCAATTACTGGGTGCCTTCTCCCCTGCTTGGCAGGTGTCAGGTCTTGGGCCTAGACAGATTTTGTTCTTATAGTCAATACCAGACTTACGGTCCCACCAGACTCAGCAAGCACCACCCACACTCAACACCTGACCTCTTCATTGTTTCCTAACCAGAAACTCCAGCAATGATGCCCAGCACAAGCTGAATGTGTAATCTTTTCTTAAGTTGTGTATGTGTGTGGGCGGGGTGTGTGTGTGTGTACTCACGCATGCAAGTGTTTGTGTTGAGGTGGGACAACATGGGCTGGTGGGGGAAGGGAGCAGTAAGGAGAGAGACCCTCAATATTCCTAGTCTTTTCCTGAGAACTAATTTAAGTAGGAAAGTTGAAAAGTTTGCATGGAAGGTAAAAATAGCACAAGGATATCTCAGAGAGCAATAGGGACCTCTTCTAGGTCAAAGCATTCTAGAAAATCATAGTTTTGGTGACTCTGCTTTCTAAACAAGAATCAAAATGTGTAGATTGACAGAGGAGTTAAGCATTGATTTATATGAAGGGCCAGCAAAGGAACACAGTTTCATGATACATGAAATACTCATCCTACTTTTGTGAAAAGTAAATACAAATAAATCGTAGTAATTTTGTATAGCTAGAAAATGTGTTTATATCTATACATGAACATAGCATGTGTTTATAATGAGACTTTAATGGAAAAGGAGATGGGACATGTGTAGGAAGTCCACCGTGACTCCTCCCCCTCCTCTCTTCTCTACCCCTTTCCATCCTGCAGACCCTCAGGGCTGGTTCTGTTCTGTGAACATGAAGTGAGGGTCATATTTTTCAGTTCACCCAAAATGTTTCTTTTTCCCCCAGTTTTTTTCTTACTCATCTCCCTCTTCTAGATTTTTCTAATTTATTTGTCTGTTTTTCTTAGAGAAGTTGTAGAAAGAAAAATTTCATTAGGAATATTGGAAAAAATTCTAGCTTAAGGAATAAAAGATCATCTTAAAAATTTTTAGTTATAAAAATGAAAAAAATAGAAATAGGATATATTTATATATCCTATATTATATATATATATATATATATATATATATGATACAGTATATAGATATGTCTATTATAGTCAATAATTCCATTCTCAACTCTGCTCAGGAGCTCCTCAACCTGACCTGATGATGAATCCATGGGGATCTGAGCTCCATCTTAAAGGAGAACTGCTAAGCAAATAAAGAAACAATCAGTAAATAGTCCCCCTGTGCGCTTAGTGCTTAGATTTGCCCACATGTTCTTCAGCCCTTTCCCAACTCTTCCTAACTCTTGTTATCCTTTATCTTCCCATTCACTTTTTTAAATATTCTTCACAGATCCAATTATCTGGAATCTTAGGATCAGTTTCAGGGTGAGAGAGAAGCCTACAGTGTCCCCAGTGAATTAATACCATCAGTGCAGACAGTCACTACACTCTATCTGGTCACAGATTACATGGAAATCCACACGCAAAAACAGCACTGCCATGTTGCCTTTGTTTCAGAAATTATGCTTTTCTCATGAATTGCATTTGTTCATGAATCTTCTCCAGCCTGATCCCTGAGTCACTGAAAGGCTCACATTCACCTGAAGTTTGTGTGCTCTGCTCTGCCCAGAGCCCCAGGGAACTGTGTCATTCAGAGCCCAGAGGTACTCAGTCACATCCCCCAATGGCTCAGGGCTTCCTCAGGTGGAAGAAGGCTTCATTCTTCCTAAGTTCAGCCTCAAAACCACAGATGCCTTTAATCAAAGTGGTCCCTGACACGTACATCAGAAGGAGCTGGAGGCCTTGATTGGTGGTACAGGTATCAGAACTGAGATGGAAGAACAAAGGATGAGTAGCTTGCACCTCCAGAGGCTCCTTCAGAAACAGCAACGTGGACATCAGTCTGGGCCATTGACTGGGCCCTGTGTCCTCCAGCAACATCAACATGATGTGAGTGAGGCCTTGACAAACTTACCTATGAAAAGGATCTCTATTCAAAGTCCAGCTGCAATACCAAACCTCTAGGGAACAAGAAAACGGAATTGAATTTTACGCACTCATGGAAAAAAGTATTGTTAGTACTGCTAAAGAATCCAAGCCCTTGGCTGAGCAGTGAAGAAGCTGAGGGTCCTTTTGAGGATCTGCCCTGAGTAGGAGGAATATGGCTGAGAAAACAGTGCCATTAGAATAAGCAAGAGTGGGATATGACTGATACCCTAGAAATCTATTGACTCAGCACATTCCAGAGATGGTTAGAAGAGTGTCTTCCTTGACAATATGGGTGTTTTCCAACTTTTAAATTCTTTTAATGTGTCTTCTAATGCATCAGCAAAGAACTGAACAAAGAGCTGAACACCACCACCAGAGTTCTATTTGTGCAGCATTGCCATCTGGGGGCCAAACACAGAAGTAGTTCTTCCAGTGAGCCTTGACATTTTTTAACTTTGGATAATTCAGGAATGTTCTTCCTTTTTAGCTCAATCCACATACATACAGATGCACAGTTTTTGTTGCCCTTGTGATTTCAGAGCCGTGGTGTGATTTGTGTGTTTTCTGACATTTCCTTCTTCCCTAATCCCTGAGTATGTGATCCTGTATGCTGCACCCCGATCATCTCAGGTATGAACACACATAAAGAGAATTAAGAGGCTTCAAAAAAAAAAATTGAACGTGTACGGTGTCTGAGTTATTGTCCATAACAGACTTCACAGCAGGCATGAAGATAACCCTCAGGGCAGAGGCATTGGGAAATTAATTCAGGCTCAGTTGCTCATGGAGCTGAACAGCAGCTCAGAATCAAGCATGGTGACAAGTAAAACACAAGAAAATAAAAAGTAAGTACTTAGTTGTTACCAGCCAAAGAAAAAGGAATTGCATTTGTTCATGAATCTTCTCCAGCCTGATCCCTGAGGATCAGAAGGATTGGTGCAAGGGAGGGAGGAGGGAGTAAAGGAAGGAGGAAAAGGAACTTATCAGTCACTCTTATAGAATTTCTCAGAAAACCATCAATTCAAAGAAGGCAAGACCATTCTAGCAGAAGATATAGTCGAGGCTTGGGAGCTTAGGCCAACAAAGGCTAAAAAAGAAAAGAGAGAAAAAGATACATTTTTGTATTCGATCATTGATTCTTTTAAAAAGAAGAGAAATAATGAAATTACATCATCTGGTCAATAAAAGTAAAAATAAAGATAATAGAAACTACTGAGGGGGGGAAGCAGTACAAGAAAGTAGTCATAGTGATATACTGTAAAAATTTTAAAGTAACTTAGAAAATAGTGGGGGATGGGGATTCAATTGAGGATGCCAGGAACATTATTCTCTGGCTGTGACATTGACTTTTTCTAGTAGGAAATGTGAACAAACGTGAAATAATAAAATGTCATAGCCATAATAATTTAATGGCATCTATGGTTTTTCAATTCTATAACCCTCATCTAGACAATGCAATGAGTAAAAATACTGTCAACTGAGGCAATGTTGGGGACATATGTTGACTGTTGCTGGAAACTGAAGAGGGAAAGAGCAGATGGGCAGAGCCGGAGCGTGGATAGCCTTCTGTGGACAGAATGGACATATATGACTGCTCTGCAAACAGAGGCATGTGGTTCTGATTTAAGTATCTGGGGTAAATAGTAGTAGAACCATTAAATATAATATAGAATATACAAGGAAAGAGAACCACAATGAATCACAATGTCTGTTCTCATTGTAAGGAATAAATGGATCTAAACTAAATTTAATTAAACAATGGGGAGTTACTCTGTTACTTTATCACTTCAACTAAAGTTGAAGACAGTGAGAACAAACTTCCACAAAATCTAAACTAAGAAGTTAAAATCCATTCAATATCATGACTTATTAAAGCTTATTCTGAAACCTCAATCATAAAACATATGCTTCTACTACTTGATTTATTAACAAACCAGTTTATTAATAAACTGAGCTGAACTCAATAACCAGGACACACCTTGACTCTCCGTCCAATATTTATCTTACTCACTTGTTTACTATTTGGGTATTTCTCATAGCTTTTTCAGTCAATTTCAAGTGGTAAAGCAGTCACATTTCCAGAAATTAAAAAGCCCCATCCAGACAGGTACAGTGGTACATGCCTGTAATCCTAGCATCTCGGGAAGCTGAGGCATGAGGATCACAAGTTCAAAGTCAGCCTCAGCAACTTAGCAAGATGCTGTCTCAAAATAAAAAATAAAAAAAGGCTAGGGATATGGTTCAATATTTAAGCACCCTGGGTTCAATCTGTGGTACCAAAAAAATTTTTTTTTGAAGTTTCTATAGCCAGACTTTATCTGTCAGGCAAGATAAACCTCTAAACATTTTAGTGAACTGTAAAAGCAAGTTCGATGTCACAGGATTGGGTGTGAACATAATCCTGAACTATTATTGATTTTCAACTCTGAGAATTAATTCACCCAGAAGATATGATCTAATTCTCAAAAGAGCAACACCCAGTACTTCCATCTTGATTCAGAAGGTCTTTAATTCTTATCTCACACAGTCACTTTATTATACATAATCAGTTAATATTCTTACATAATATGGAAAATTTTGACAAGTATGTATACCAAAAAGTAAACTATAGCTATCTAAGAGTATTGAGATTTGAGGGCATTTTAATTTCTTTATTTTATTCACTACTATCTTCTAAATTTTCTAAAATAACTATCACAGTAGTTTGTTACACTGATGATGACCCTCAGTAAACCATGCTTCCTGATATTGACAACCTGTAGAGTCCCCTCCCCATGGCTCTGGATGTAGGGATTCTGACCATGGAAATGTACAGGGAAGCATTCTCCTGGTGAGAAAACTCCCGGGGGGTAACAGGTACCCTGTTTTTCTCTTAGGATCTAATAATATAGCTAATATATGTGCAATATCTAGCTGGTACACAATGCACTGAGATGCCTCTGTGTTAGAGCCTCATCAAGCCTTGACCTTGATTGCAGGCACATAGCTCCTGGGAACAGAAGAACTTGTTTGCTAGATAACTATGTTTCACCAAGCTCCAGTGCTCCTGGAGCTGCCCGCCTACCAGTAACTTCAGACAATGGACTTTCTTGAAAACTGCACAAAGCTCCTAACATTGCATTTTGTTACTGTGAAATGTAACTGCAGAATAAGCAACCTTACTGACACTCTAAACAATGATGTGGTTTTGGTACTAATGATCTAATGTAACCTATTAGTATAAGTAAATGTGATCGCTTGGCAAAGGAGCCACTCTGCCACCTTCCCTGCCTCTGCACCCTGTCTGTATCTCTCTTTATTATTATTCCTTAGAGCTCTGAGTTGGTGTATGGTTTGCATAAGAAGTAGAATGAAGGAAAAAGGACATCATGACAATCCTGAGCTTCACCTGAAGGAAGCTGTCCTGCTTTTTGTGCTCTTGGGAATGTATATAAGAACTCCCACTACCATATCAGAGAGACCATGTGGAAACATCAGTCATATATTCTGTATTTTTAAAAAACATACACACACACACACACGTCTGGAAGAGACAGATTATGAGCCTATAATATACTCAGTCCACTGGCAAAAACTAAGCCACAACCCTACTCTAAAGAATGCTTAATAGGGCTGGAGTTGTGGCTCAGTGGTAGAGCGTTTGCCTAGCATATGCGAGGCCCTGGGTTCGATCCCCAGCACCACATAAAAATAAATAAAATAAAGGCATTGTGTCCAACTACAACTAAAAAATAAATTTAAAAAAAGAATGCTTAATAAATATTTCTGCTTCTGATAATTGATGGAAGTCCTATCACTAAAGAAGAATAAAGCCATGCACCTTAATACACTATCAACTGCAAGTCACACAGACCAAAACTCATCCAAGTCTCCTTAATTATACAAAGCTCTGAATGCTTTGTAATCATTTATTTATCCAAACTGTCTTCAGCCTGGAGGCAGAGTTACCATGCATAACTTGGAATCCAGAATCAAAAGTTATTCTGTGAACCATCTGTTAGTCAGCTTTCAAAGCTGTGACCAAAATACCCAACAAGAACAACTCAGAGAAAGAGAAGGAAGAGTTTATTTTGGCTCATGTTTCCTGAGGTTTAGTTGATAGTCAGCCAAGTCCATTGCTCTGGGTCCAAGAGGAGACACACATCATGGAAGAAAGGCCTTGTGGAAGACCTCTGCTCCATTCATGACTTCAGGAAGCAGGGAAGGGGCCACAGGGAAGATGAACCCTTCCAGGGCATGCTCCCCATGGCCCTGCCTCTCCAGCCATATTCTACCTGCCTACAGTTGCCATTCAGTCCATTCAAAGGAGGAGGGGCCGATTAGCTTGCAGCTCTCACAGTCGAATCATTTCACCCCTGAACACGCCTGCGTTCACACAGGAACTTTGGGGGGAACCTCCACAACACCATCATTTATCCATTGAACCTTGAAGACCTTACCCTGGGGATCATTTGGCCAAAAAATGAAAGAAAATATTATGTGATCTTTCTACAGAGAAATGGTTGATTAATTTATTGGTTTTAATCATAGATAACAAGACCAACAGTTGTATCTCCCAAAACAGTTCTTATATTTGCATAGGTTTATTCAGTTTAAGAGAGGTCTGAATGTACAACACTTTATGTCATCCTCCAAACAGTGATAGAAGGTTAGCAGATTAGGTTAATGACTTCATTATGTAGATATTATAATGTAGGCTATATATCACCTTCATCTGATGAATACTAATTAAGTGCAGAACCTTTGGTGTGATATTATTTTAACTTTTATTAGTGCTGGAAGACAGTTTTACGATCCCCATTTTATAGAGGAAGAAAATCTAAGATTCAAAGTCACAAATGCCTGCTCCAAAGCTGGCTATATTTCTTGTCTGTTCTGCTGCCCTGAGCACGGAGCAAGAATGAAGTACAAGAAGAATTTGAGCCTTCTACTATGAAAGGGCATCTCTTTGCCCTTTCCACAATACTTATTGCCACTAATTTCTTTCTTCCAAAGTGATTAACATACACTCGTATTTATAAATACAAATCTAAAAACAAAATCTGTGCTGTTTCCTCACAGTGAGTGACTCCTTGAAAGGAACTGGGCCTTAACCCCCACTCCCCAGCTCCCTGACAGAGTTCTTTCACCTCTATACTACAACCACAGCATCATCCACCCAAGACCAGTTGTCCACAGAATAACTTAAATAATTCTTTTTTAAATAATCCCATGGCTCCCAGATATAGATGTTTATTTCATAATTAGATGAAAACATCACAGAGAACCCCCTCAACCCCACCCTCTCAATTCTCATGACAGCAGTTCCACTGGTTTGGGAATAGGTTGTCCAGGGACATGGGATCACTCTGAGCTTGCCATAAAAATGCAGGTGTCTGACATCTAAGCTTTCTAGATGCCTGAGGTGACAGTGAATCATAAAAAGTAGTGCTAGTGAATTAGCCAACTTGTAAATGTCTTTTTGTTATAATTGATAGAAAAGATGCATCTTGGACATGGAATTGCTTTATCACTCTGGGCATTGTGTATCAGGACTTGTTCATTAGGCTAGGAGCATAGGGGCACAGGGAAGCACAGGGAAAGATGGGAGCAAGTGCTCAAAGATTTACATTTTGATGTGAGCCACTGGTGTGTGTGCATCTTCTAGCTGTACTATAGGAATATTTTAATTCACTGGAACATTCATTCTTGCTAATATTTTAGTAGTAGAAATCTGGTAATGAAACAAGCTTGGTGTATTCTGTTGCTGTTTCATTTTAAATTGAGCATTAAGGGAATGAATTGTTTTACTTGTAAATCTGCCAATATGTCTATTGAGAGGCCTGTTGCCATTTCTGACTTCAGTGAAATGTTATCCCCAAGAAAGGATAACAGATTGAGTTGGTGTAGTGTAATCTTAATTATCAAAAAATACTCATGTAGCTTCAGGATTTTGAATTGGTGAATATTCATGATGTGTGGAAAAGCATCAAACACACCACAATCTCAATCACACAAAATGGGATATTGTGTATATATGCACACAACCTAGAGGGACACGTCCAACTAAGCTTCTTGTGACTGGATGACTTTGTTCTTTGCTTGTGTTTTTATTTTTCCTGTAATGTACAATTTATTTTTTTAAATAAAAATTATTTTAAAAAATGCAGGTGTCTGAATCTTCAGCCTTTGAATCTGTGGTGTGCAGAGGGGTATTTTTCTAAAGAGCTTTGACTCTTCCTTCATTTTCCCCACTGAGAGAATGGGAAGCAGAGAAGCAGAGACACTAGGCTTTTTCCAAAATATCTTGTGAGGGCTGGGGATATAACTCAGTTGGTAGAGTGCTTGCCTTGCATGCACAAAGTCCTGGGTTCAATCCC